CTTGGCTAGCTTATGCCCGAAATAACAACACACAAACTGTATTCATTTAAGAACTGCTTGGCCCATGAACTCTAGCCCTTACAGGCTAATTCTCGCACCTGGACTAGCCCATTTCTAATGAAGTGTGTAAGCACCCCAAGGTGCGCTTACCGGGAAGATTCTAGCCTAAGTCCATCGTGGGTTGCAGCTGCCTGGGAGAGCAGAGCATGGCGGCTGTCCGGTCCCTCTGGAAGCAGCGCAGAGTCTGACCTCACTTCCTCTTCCGCCCAGAATTCTATCCTGTTTATTCCGCCCACCTATCTTTTAACCTATCAGGGCCAGCAGTTTCTTTATTGCTCAGCCAATGAAATCAACAGATTGATATGACACTCCCACATCACTTATTTGTATTTATTATAATTTTTTTGAAATACCATGCCTTCTGAGATGTTCTTTCCCTCAGTTTAGTTACACGGCCTCAGACTAAAGGACGTTCATAGAGGAGCACTTTTGCTATAGGAACAAGGGACGTGTGTCTGTGTTATGTAGTCCAAGCCAGCCTTAAACTTGCTCAAAAGCTGAGGTAGCTTAGGATGAATAAATTTGCACCCCTGATTATCCTGCCCCACACTCAAGTGCTAGGACAAAAATAAATTCTGGGGACCTTGAATAACACAAAATGTGGTGTTCACCATTGTTTTTTGTTTTCTTTTTTGTTTTTCTCCATTTGGAAAAAAAATGTGCTTTAGATAGGAGAGGGAGCCAGCAGGGCACAAATGAGTAATCCTCTGTACTTTAGAGGTGCATTGTGCCTATCATGATGGCACTGGTGCCCTCCCTCTTATGGCACTTGCTTTCTGTGACGGCTCTTATGGATGTCGTGTGCTCCCAGTTTTTGTTGTGTTGTATTTAGTTTTATTTTGAGAGTGGGTGGCCCAAACTTTCTTCATGACTGACAATTACTTTAAGCTCTTGGCCCTTTCATGGCAGAAAGACTCCTAGTGGCCTCTTTTATGAGGGCACTAGTTCTTATGGCTGACCTCAGCTCTTTATAAAATAATAGGATATTAGTTATTAGGCTCCAAATTACAAATTTGGAAACACCACATTGTCACCATTGACGTCAATATATCTGTTTACTAGCTGTATTAATCAATTTTTTGGGTGGTTTTTTTTTTTTTTTTTTTTTTTTTTTTTTTTTTTTTTTTTTTTTTTTTTTTTTTTTTTTTTTTGGTTTTTCAAGACAGGGTTTCTCTCGCTTTGGAGCCTGTCCTGCAACTAGCTCTGTAGACCAGGCTGGTCTCGAACTCACAGAGATCCTCCTGCCTCAGCCTCCCAAGTGCTGGGATTAAAGGCGTGCGCCACCACCGCCCGGTGCATATTTTATTTTTTAAAAAGCTTTATCTGGCTACAGATTTGGAAGCTGAAACTCTAAGGTTAGGCACCTCCCTCTCTTTGAACTCTGCTGATGCTTTTTTAGGGTATTCTAACCCATCAGATCGATTCATGGTGGCATTTAATTTGAAAGTAACCCATGAGGGCCTAGAGAGGTATCTGTGGTTAAAAGCGTGTGCTGCTCTTCAGAGACCATATAGAGAGATGGGAAACCGGAATCTAGAGAACTCACTAGCGTGAACACTGACTTCAGAATAGAGTGTTGACCTCCTCTGAAGAGCAGAGACCTAGTTATTGTGGTCACTGTCCTTCCTTGGGTATGCCTCAGCAATGTGACATAGAGACTGCACTTGCAGAGCCTCTGAGGGACACCAGTCATCTGAACCCTAGCCTGCAGAAGGACGGCTCATTCATAGTATACTAACCAAGACTGAATAGCCGTGAAACACTTTCCTCATCCTCCAGATGGATGTGAGAAAGCCCTGGTCAGCAGAGGATATTCTTTGTAAGCAGAGAGGGAGGGAGAGAGTGCCTCATAAAACCTTAATAACAGTGTAATTCTAATGTAGTCAGGAAGTCAGGAAATCAATCCTTTTGGATGGGGGTTTTAAGCTGGGATTTTATGTAACCCAGGCTGTCCTCAAACTTTCTGGGTAACAAAGGCTAGCCTGGTACTCCCAGTGCTCCTGCCTCTGCCTCTCGAGCGCTAGGATTATAGACATGTGTTACCACGCCCAGAGAGAATCAATTGTTCCTTTTGTTGTTGTGGTTTTGTTTGTTAGTTTTTTTTTTTTAATGTGCATTGCTGTGAGCTACCATGTGGGTGATGGGAATTGAACCCAGATCCTCTGGAAGAGCAGCTGGTGTTCCTAAACACTGAACCATCTCTCCGGCCCCAATTGTTCTTTTTCCTTTTTTCGAGACAGGGTTTCTCTGTGGCTTTGGAGCCTGTCCTGGAACTAACTCTGTAGACCAGGCTGGTCTCGAACTCACAGAGATCCGCCTGCCTGTGCCTCCTGAGTGCTGGGATTAAAGGCGTGCGCCACCACCGCCCGGCTTATGCTCTTTATTTTATTCTGCATCAGGGTCGTAGCCCTGACTGGTTAAGTAGACTAAGCTGGTCTTGAACTCAGATCCTTCTGCCTCTGCCTCCTGAGTGTTAGGATTAAAAGTGTTCACTACCATGACTGACCTGGTGCTACTGTATTTGCTCACTATGCATGGAAAAAAATTAAAAGTCTCATTTAATTATTCTAATATTTGGTATTACGCCAAGGATTTTGTTCTTAGTTTGCCTTATAGGGTACAGATCCTTATGTTGATAAAGTCTTTGCATCGGCAGTGCTCTAGATGTTCTTAAGTATGAAGGAGTTGACATGGAGTTGCTGGCCAGTGCTGTTCCCGAGCCCCTGAAGAAGTATACTGCTTACAGAGAGCTGGCTAGAAGACTGAAAATAGAAGGTAAAAGGGAGTTGTTTTCCTTTGGTGCCTGTATTCTCTTTTCTGGATGTGCAGATTATGAATGAGCAGTAGACCTGTCTAACTACTCGCTGAATATAGTGATGCATGCCTGAGGATCACGCTGGCTTTAGGTTTTGGCAGGTTTGCCCTCCGTAGATACTAAGCAGTGAAAAGGGCACAGAACAGGATGATTCTGGGAATGGTAGGAAAGTTTGATGGATAGTGCTGTGTATACAGGAAAAGACCTTTACTCTTCGGGGAACAACCAGGGTGGTAAGAGTGGTGCATTCCTTGCAGGGTTGGCGCTCTCTTTCAATTCCACAGAGGTCTGTCAGCTTACCATGCTTTGGCTGTGTGTGTAGAATGGCCATATGTTGACTAGCATTGCATTGTGTTATGTTCTAAAAGGCTAGCAATGAAAAGAAACCTGTCAAAAATTCTAGAAACATTTTTCCAAATGACCCATTATTAAAAAATTAAATTTGATTAAAAAGTAACCCTGATGGGGCTGGAAAGATGGCTCAGTGGTTAAGGGCACATGCTGCTCTTCCAAAGGACTAGAGTTCATTCAGTTCCCAGCACCCACGTCACAGCTGCAACTTCAGCTGCGAGGGGATCCACAGGCACCTGCACTCACACACATACACCACAGACGCATGGTTAAAAATAACTTGTGAAATCTGAAAAAACAAAACTCGTCACCCCGTACTAGTGGCAGCCTACAGGAAGAGTACAGACTTTATTTCGCCATTGTGACTTCTCTACTAAAGAGCTTCGTTAGCTATTTAGGGTGTAGCAGTGGAAACAGCTGCTTAGATTACCTTTTTTAACTTGGTGCACAGCTTTACTTTGTTCAGTAAATATTAGGTTCCACTTAGAAGCATTTATCATTAACTTGTTTCCAGTAAATAATTCAACCATGACATAGCTGTTCTTGCTCTGTGAAGACCAGTACCTAAAAAATTCCAGCACCACTTGAGGTTTAGAAGAAACCACATTGGGTTAAAGTACAACATATACGGGTAATTTTCAAGTTGCCACTTTTAATATCCCAACCTTACAAGTTTCTTTTAATCCTTTTCGTTTTTAATTTTATTTTTATTTACATTTTTATGTTTGCTTCTGTGTGTGTATGCACATGTATGTAGGTGCTCATAGAGGGCAGAAGAGGGTGTTGGATCCTCTAGAACTGGAGTTACAGATGGTTGTGAACTGTGTGATGTGGGTGCTGGAAACCAAAGGACCCTTTATAAGAGCAGCAAGTGATCTTAACTACTCTCCAGTGATTTGTTTGTTTGTTTGAGACATGGTATCATGTAGCGCAGGCCATCCCAAACTCCTAAGCAGCTGAGGATGACTGTGAGCTCTTAGATCTCCTAAGTGCCAGGATTGCCAGTGTATGCCACTCACTGTACCTGGTTTTGTGCAGTGGTGGAAGATGTTGGTTGATACCAGTCATCAGCTTGATAGGATTTAGAGTCACCCCAGGACACAAGCATGCCAGACAAGCCCTTTGCCAACTGAGCTACATGCCAGCCCCTAGACAAAATTCTTGAGGGCAGAAGTCAGTGTCATGTATTTTCTTTCTTGTTTTGCAATTTATATCTGAGAGATTAAAATAAATGTGCCCATGGCCATATGCAAGATCTCAGCTATCCATGTATTAACATAGTTACTCTCTTGTTGCTGTGACAGAGTACCTGGCAAGAAGCCACTCAAGGGCTTGGAGAGATGGCTCAGTATTTAAGAGTACTGACTGCTCTTCCAGAGGATCCAGGTTCAATTCCCAGCCTCCTCATGGCACATCACAACCATCTGTAACTCCAGTTCCAGGACTTCTGACACCTCCATACATGCTGGCAAAACACCAAATAACATAAAATAAAAATAAATTATTAAAAAAAAAAACACTCAAGGAAGAGTTTATACATGCAAACTTCAGAGAATTAACCTTCAGTATTATTCATCCGAATGAGTCTGCTTTGGCTCATGACTTGAGGAGACAAAGTCATCCCGGTGGGAAAGGCATGGTAGTGAGAGCAGCTGACCTATAGTTTGCTGCACATGAGGCAGTTAATCGGAGCGCATCCACAGTCAGGAAGTAGAGATGCCAGCACTCACTTCCTCTCTCCTTTTTGTTGAGTCCAAGGCCACAGCCAGTGGGGTGATACCACTTGCATTTAGGTGGGTCTTCCTTTGCATTTAAACCATTTTGGAAACATTCTGGCAGGCATGCTGGGAAGTTTCTGTAGTGATTTAAAATCTTGTCAAATTGATAATCAGTAGTAACCACCACTGTAGCACAATTAATGAAAACCCAGAGGCAGATATTGGGGTTTAGTCTGAAGGTCAGGAAACCAAAGCAGCCAGCCAATGGCTCTTACCTCTACCTCAGTCTGAAATGGCGATCCTGCCTCCAGGAGTCTCAGAATGAGACTGTGTGAGAGCTGTCTCCTCCCATCTTATATTCCTCTCTAGGGCTGGGATTAAAGGTGTGCACTACCACCTGGTTTCTTTGACAAACTAGTGTGGCTACTGGGATTAAAGGTGTGCCACCACTGCCTGGTCTGTAAGGCTGACCAGTGGGACTGTTTTACTTCTGATCTTCAGGCAAGCTTTATTTATTAAAATACAAATGAAATATCACTACACGTCACATTACATTATACCCTGAGGGCTATTTATGAATCATAAGATTATGCCAGGTATAGTGAAGCATTCCTGTGTAATCCCAGCCCTTGGGAGCTGAGGCAGGGATTGTAAAAGGTCTTCCTGGCCAACTCAGTAAGACAATGTCTAAAAAGTATAAAAGGAGCTAGGGACATAACTCTAGTAATGGTAGAGTGTGTGTCTTCTTGCCTAGCATTCACGATGCCCTGAGACCTGGTCTTAATCACCAGTACCAAAACCAGACAGCTTTATTTTTTATTTTATTTGTTTATTTATTTATTTTGAGAAAGGGTTTCTTTTTTGTTGTTGTTGTTTGTTTGTTTTTGTTTTGTTTTTTTCGAGACAGGGTTTCTCTGTGGTTTTGGAGCCTGTCCTGGAACTAGCTCTTGTAGACCAGGCTGGTCTCGAACTCACAGAGATCCACCTGCCTCTGCCTCCCAAGTGCTGGGATTAAAGGCGTGCACCACCAAGTAGCTTTGGGGCCTTGTCCTGGAATTTACCTGGTAGTCCAGGCTGACCTCGCAGATCTGCCTGCCTCTGCTTCCCAGTGCTAGAATTAAAGGCGTGTGCCACCACTACCACCCAGTTTGACTTTATTTTTCTAAGAACAGAATGCTTGATAAGATAATTGCCAAGCTCTCTTTATAATATTACTTCTCAATAAAAACCTTAACTAAATTGCATAAGTTATGTTTGCCAACCAAGAACCCCCACTTGTGAAAATGATTGCCTTGGGGCCGGGAGCACAGTTGAGCCGTAGAGCTCTGTCAGGCATGTGTAGGCCGTGGTTCATCCTGGGACCACACACAGCTTCACATGAAAATAATTTAAGAACCATTTTCTTGGAGAAACAGCCCATCCTTAGGATTTAACATTTGCACTGACACGGTCAGATTCAGCTGGGCGTGATGGCAGACACCTGTAGTGCTTAATAGCCCTTTGCCAGTGGAGGCTGAATGACAGTCAGTAAAGTCGCTCCTAACTATATGTAGTACAGCTCTGTGATACCCTTCAGTTTCTTCACCTCAAAAAGGACACCAACTAGGAATTCAAGGTCAGCCTCACTGCAAGTTTGAGGCTATCCTGGAATACATGAGATTATCTGCCCTACCTGTCTCAGAGTATCAAGTATTGATGAGGTGATGCATGCCAAAGCTTTTTGTAAATAGTAAAGGGCTGTACAAACACAGTTATGTATCATAATAGAATTCTCATTCTTTTTTACCAGCTACTTATGAGTCAGTATTATTGTATCAACTACAAGAAATAAAGGAGGTTCGGCGAGATGAAGCTTTCCAACTGCCACAAGACTTAGATTATCTAACCATCAAGGATGTGTCATTGTCCCAAGAAGTTCGAGAGAAGCTACACTTGAGTCGCCCACAGACAGTAAGCAAACAAGTAATGGGGAAAAACAAGTTAGAAGCTAAGCCAGAAAGGGCTAGTGCTTTATTTTAATCCTGGACTTAGAATGGTCACATGAGTGACCTTGAGAAACCTAATCTTGGAGCTGGAGTGTTGCTCTAGAGCTAAGAGCCCTTGCTGCTTTGCAAAGGACCCTGGTTTGGTTCCATGGTGCCTCCCAAGTTCCAGGGAATTTGATGCCCCCTTCTGACCTCTGAGGGCACTGCACGTACATGGTGTACTTATGTACATTCAAAAACACTCATGATCTGGGCAGTGGTGGTGGTGCACACCTTTAAATCCCAGCACTCGGGAGGCAGAGGCAGGCGGATCTCTGTGAGTTTGAAGCCACCCTGGTCTACAGAGTGAGTTTTAGGACTGGCTCAAAAAGAAAACAAAAAAACATTCATGCACATGACAATAACCTAGAAAGAAAATTTTTCTTTAAAAATAAATGTTTTTTATTCTAACCCTGTGCTAAAGCATTGGTACACACCCTCTTATTGTACAGCCACTGAGGCAAAGCAGTGTAATGTAAGCATAATGTTTTCTCATCTAAAAAGCGAAAAACAAAACTGATTCTTTCCCTCCCTCCCAATAATTATGAAAAGACAATAACTGAGCTACAGGGGGACTTTGTGTTCTCCCCTCTCCTCCCCTTCCTCACTCCATCGTGAGATTTTGCCTGGCTTGAACTTAGGCAAGCCTTGTCTGTTGTGTTCTGAAAACACTGCTTCCTTTAAGTAATCTACTCTTAGCATCTTTCCATCCCCTCTTCCTCCACGATCCCTGAACTTGGAGGGAAGAGTATTGGTACAAACGTCTCGTTTAGGACTGAGCACTCCAAAGTCTTGTATTTTCTGCATGTTGACCATTTGTGGATCTGTGTTACTTGCCATCTAGACCACATTGTTTTCTTTCTTAAAAAAACGGGGGCGGGGGGGGGGGGGGCGGGGTTGTATATGTATGTTTTCCCTACATGTGCCTATGCACAGTACATGCATATCTGGAGCCTGTGGAGGTCAGAAGAGAGCATCAGATTCAGGTCCCCTGGAACTGGAGTTATAGATGGTTGAGCCAGTCACTTTGCTAGGAGTGGAACTAGTTGAACTAACGTAGTCCTGGCTCAGTAGACCAGGCTGGCCTTGAACTCAGACAGTCACCTGCCTCTGCCTCCCGAGTGCTGGGATTAAAGGCTTTCTAATGGCCATCATCACACCCAGCTCTCAGATAATTTTTAATAGCTGGGTGTGATGTCACCTGCTGTAGTCCTATCAACGTGAGAAATTTGATGTGTTTTTATGTGCCATAGCTCACTTTGGTTCTTTCATCATTTTAATTCCTAGATTGGGGCTGCTAGTCGTATACCTGGAGTGACACCAGCTGCCATCGTCAATCTGCTCAGATTTGTGAAGACTGCTCAGCAGAGACAGGCAGCAGTGACGGAGCACCAAACCAATTAGTACTTATGTGATACAAAGAAACTTCCAGACAGAGAATTGTAACTTTCATTTCATAGAGGACTTTTAGAAAGAGGGTTTAGAGAGTATAAAAGGAGATAAAAATAATACCTGTGAGAATAGCATTGTTAGATTATTTTAGATTTGTCCTTATAAGACAAAGGTTGTATTTATAAGACAGTTGTACTTTATGTATATAGGCAAAATGCTTCAAAACATCAGTAGGTCATGTAGCATTCATCAAAGGGTAATAATTAAGCCAAAACTAAACCTGAAACTGAGTGTTGATACAGATTTTAAGCAATCCCATCTGTTAAGAGGTTGAAGCTCGGGGGCTGGAGAGATGGCTCAGTGGTTAAGAGCACTGGCTGCTCTTCCAGAGGTCCTGAGTTCAATTCCCAGCAACCACATGGTGGCTCACAACCATCTGTAATGAAATCTGGTGCCCTCCTCTGGCGTGCGGGCATACATGGAGGCAGAATGTTGTATACATAATAAATAAATCTTTAAAAAAAAAAAAAAAAAAAAAAAGAAGTTGAAGCTGGGCTGGGCAGTGTGATTCACACCTTTAATCCCAGAACTCGGGATGCAGAGAAACCCTGTCTCCATAGACCTGGTCCCTAAGAGCCACGTCCAGAGCCTATGCCCTTTGGGAAAAAATTTTTCAGTTTGTAGATTTTCTACTCTTATGCCCATATGTAAAGTTAATTGCTATTTTTTACTCATAAAGCACCCCAGACCACAGACTTAGTCTTGTCTGCTTACTGTGGTTAGCAAACGGTGATTCAAGTTGTAAACTAGGATGAAAAAGGAAGACTGAACTGGGCAATGGTGGCACACACCTTTAATCCCAGCACTGAAAAGCAGATGGATCTCTGAGTTCAAGGCCAGCCTGGTCTACAGACCAGGTTCCAGGACAGCCAAGTCTACACAGACAAACCTGTTTCAAAAAATTCAAAAAACTCAAAGAAAAATGAAGACTACAAAACCACCCCGATCACTCAGCTGTTTTTCCTCTTTTGAGAACAGTTTTCAGCCGGTATGCTATTTCAGCATTATACACGTCATCTAATACTGGGATAGGCAGGGGAGAACAGGAGAAATGGGTCAGCAGGTAAGTGCAATGGCTGCTTTTTCAGAGGACAGGGATCAAGATGGGATCCAACACCTGGCCTTCATGGCCATGTGATACACAGGCATACATGTAGGCCAGGTACCCATAAGCATAATACTTTTCTTTTTAATTTTAGTTTGACAGAGGTAGCAGGAAGCTCAGAAATTCAGCTATCGTCAGTTTGAGGCTAATCTGGACTACATGAGACTCTGCCTCAGGGGTGTGGGTGGGTGAGGGCTGGATGCCCATGCAGTTTATAATTCTGGAATTAATTGTGTAGGTTAAAAGCTGACCCAGAACATTTAAATCTTAAGATTTCAGTACTTTGGAATTTTCAATCATTAGTTTTGAACATTGGTGGAAGTACTATAAAACAAACACAAACTTATTTTGTAAGCTGGTTAAAGGAGGTTAAAGGTGGTCATATTTCATACAATAAAAATGTTTGCTGATCCAACTGACCTGGCCATGATTTAACATTAATAAAGCAATCTGTAATTACTGATGAATCGTGTCTAGTAATGCCATATCCTTTCTTTACTGGTACAGGGATAGTATGTGTTGCATTGGGGTGACCAATGTGGGTCCCTTGACTAGCCTTTATGAGTAGACTAGGGGATGAATAAATGGGTCAGAGGGTTCTGGTTTTTTTTGGGGGGAGGGGGTTGAGACAAAGTTTCTCTGTAACTTTGGTGCCTGTCCTGGAACTAGCTCTTGTAGACCAGGCTGGCCTCAAATTCAGAGATCTGCCTGTCTCTGCCTCCCAAGTGCTGAGATTAAAGGCGTGCGCCACTGCTGCCTGGCCCTGTCCCAGCCCTGTTTTGTCTCTTTAATACTAGCCGGGCTGTTAGCCCCGTGTTTGCTTAGGCTTCTGCTAGAAGTTAGTGTTCCAAGGCCTCTAGTCACTTTGGCCCTATATCTAAGATCTGATTATGGGGGAGGCAACCAAATATTTTGTTATATATAATTTGGCACAACTATTTGAATGCAGTTCAATTTCTTAGATTTGCTTGTTCATCTAGTTTTCGTCTTTCCAGGTCAGGTCAGGGTTTAATGATTTAAAATTTATTTTTATGTGCATTGGTGTTTTGTCCGTATGAATATGTGAACAATATGCCAGATCCCCTGAAACCAGAGTTACAGTTGTGAACTGTTGTGTGGGTAGTGGGAATTGAACCCAGATCCTCTGGAAGAGCAGCCACTGTTCTTAAGTGCTGAGTCATCTCTTCAGCCCTGCCTGATACCTTTTTCGAGGTGTAGCTTTTAATCAATACCATGTGTGTATACAAATACAAAGAATACATAAGACTTTAGCCAGGCATGGTATGTGACAGCATTTGACAATTGAGCATAACTTGGGACTGTACAGTGAAAATTAAAAAAAGTGTATTGTACACCTATAATTCCAAGACTTGAGAGACAGGAGGATTGCTCAAATTGGAGGCAGAGAACACAGCAAAACAAAGCCAGGCTAGCCTGTAATCCCAGTGTTGGGAAGGCAGAGACAAGAGGAAAGCCACAAATGTCTACCTAGTACCTAGAAAGTTCCAAACAAGCCAGAGCCACATAGCAATATGTGATCAAAAGTAGGAGCGTGAAGTAGGGAAAGATGGCTCAGCAGTTAAAATCACTCACTACTCTTTCCAAAGGACTTGGGTTCAATTTCCAGCACCTACATGGTGGCTAATACCCAGCTGTAACCGAAGTCCAGACGGTCCACACAGCCCTCTTGTGGTCCTTACAGGTACCAGGCATGTATGTGGTGCAGATACATATACCTACAGGTAAGACACTTAAATAGAAAAAAAACTATATGCAAAAATGGGTGAACCTTAAACAAACATGCTGCTAAATGGGGCGCAAACCATGAGCTCCAGGCTGAGCTGCAAGAGTTGGACTTGCCTCAAAAAGGGAAGCCATGCCAGGTGGTGGCATGGGCCTTTAAATAACCACAGCACTAAGGAGGCAGAGGCAGGTGGATATCTAAATCCAAGGCCAGCCTGGTCTACCGAAGTTTCAAGACAGAAAGAACCTGTCTCAAAAAAAAAGGGAAGAGGGGGAAAGATGGTGAATTTTAGTGTATGTAAAGAATTTAGCAAGTGGGTGAAGGGCGAACCTCTTACAGAATTTGCCCTTTTGCTTATATGTAGGATAACACATTAAACTTGTTTTTATTGCATATCTCCTATAGAGATTACACTGGATATAGATTTCCAATAGATGAGAGGTCAACATAATTTTTATTTTTTTGATTCTCTGTAGCTTGAGCCTATCCTGGAACTCCCTCCTTAGGCCCCTGTAGGCCTTGAACTCAGAGACCCACCTGTTTCTGCCTCCAAGTGCTGTGATTAAAGGCGTGCACCACCACCACCTGGCAAAGCCACCCAGCTATTTTCTATAAATTTTTCTTAAAAATTGATACTAAGAAAACAATCTATTTGAGTTAGTATTCTAGCTTGTCATTGAATATCCCGTCACTTGCAAATGACTAAGTGGCGTTGTGTTACATAAGCAATACTGGGTAAGAGAGCATGTAGGGTTTGCAAATAACCTAAGTAACAAGAGGCAGGTCAGGAAAGTTTTTTTTTTTTTACATGGTTTCTCTCTAGCTTTGGAACTAGTCCTGGAACTAGCTCTTGTAGACCAGGCTGGCCTGGTCTCCACCTGGCAGGAAAGTTAAGTCTTAGGAAAACAAGATGAAGAGGTCTCATCCATACAGGATTTAGAAGACACTGTTCTCTCGTCAATATAGGTCCTATACATCCAGTAATTCCCATGGGCCTGGGTTGTGATGAACTAGTACCATTGAAGGCCATCTAACATTAGTTTCACCCATGTTCTCAAACTGAACTTGTACAGTCAAACTTTGTGTCTGTCTAGTTCAATTCAAGAGTAAAAGATGATCTGCCAGGCGGTGGTGGTGAACGCCTTTGATCCCAGCACTCGGGAGGCAGAGGCAAGCAGATCTGAGTTCACAGCCAGCCTGGTCTACAAGAGCTAGTTCCAGGATACCCTCCCAAAGCTACAGAGAAACCCTGTCTGGAAAGAAAAATTAGTCTTCATTCCCAAGACAGAATCTCAGAGCCAACAAGGGAGTGCCATCACCCAGTTAAGCTGTTTTATATTTTTTAAAAATATTTATTAAATACAGTGTTCTGCCTGCATGTATACCTGCAGGCCAGAAGAGGGCACCAGGTCTCATTACAGATGGTTGTGAGCCACCCACCATGTGGTTACTGGGAATTGAACTCAGGACCTCTGGCGGAGCAGCCAGTGCTCTTAACCTCTGAGCCATCTCTCCAGCCCCCAGCTGTTTTAAAAAAGAAAAAGGTTTATGTAGCTAGGCTTTGTGTCAAGGCCTTTAACCCCAGCACTCAGGAGGCAGAGTTGCAGGACCTGGTTTACAGAGCAAAACTCCTGGAGTTCCATGTCAGGGCTGAATGCACAGGGAAACCCCCATGTCCAAAAAAGAAAAACGTATTTTAAGAGCCAGGTTGTGGTGGTGTAGCCTTTAATCCCAACACTTGGAAGGCCAAAGCAGGCATATTTGGCATACCTGTCCCAAAATAAGTATTTAAGTTAACTTATTGATCCAAATATTAATAGGTTGTAGTAGGCTGGAATAAATAAAGGATCAAATTTAATCACTGCCTGAGCCTGACTGAATTTTTATAAATAAGGATTATAGTTCACTAAGTAGTATACCTACACTACCACGTTCAGCACCCAGTACCCACTTCAAAGAAAATTGCCAGACTAGGTCGATTTAAAACACCCCCGGATGACTGAGTAGCAGTGTAGGCACAGCATTGAAGAGCACTAAAAATGATTCATCCTTTACTAGAGCCATGTGCCTGTGGAACCTAGTTTTCTTCCACTGAGCCACCTATTTTCAAGATGCTGGACTCCCAAACCTGTGTAATCCAGACAGACCTGCAACTCCTTGAGTTGCCAGGGGTAATGTCAGTAGCAACAGCCCTTTATTGATAGGCTAAAGGCCAAGTTGTTCAAATTTCCCAGCACTAAAAATATGCCCAAGCAGGGTGCCTTGGTGCTCATTTAATCCCTGCATTAGGGGAAGTTTGAGGCCAGCCTGGTCTACAGAGCTAGTTCTAAAGACAACCAGGGTTAGAGAATCCTGTTTGTCCTTTCCTTTAAATTCCTTCGCTTTATTTTACCCACACATGTGCACATTCCTGCCTAGTAGGCCATTCATTAGACTCACCCAACTTAACAATGCTGAAGAAACACCATGTGAGTGCTGGAATGAGGGCAAGTCCAATCATTTGTAACCAGAAATGTAATCAGCTAGCCTACTTAAAGCAAGCACAAAGTAATTAGCTTTCACTTCTGGGCCTCTCCAGTGCAAAAAGGACTACAGATGCACTCCTGGTATCTAACTTAGTAGTGGGGCTTGTCCGACACGCCTGGATCCCATACCCAGGCTTTTTCCTTTTATAAGTTTTGTACCAGTAGGTGGTGCTATCCACTAAACTCTACACATGCACAAATCTGATTCAATCCTTCATCTACTTTCCAGGTAGGTAGATCTTGATTCCTTTGGAGTTGGGCTTATTAGATCATGTTAAGATTTCTCAAACCTGCACCCCAACTCACTAACCTAAACTGAAAAACCTTTAACCCACAGATTTACAGACCAATCCCACTTCTTTGCTTATGGCCCAGGTACTTCAATCTGCTGTACCTAAACTTAAATTAGGCCACCTATTGTGATCAAGGGACCCATGAATAGCAGCAAACAGGCCTTTAGTCTAGCACTTGGGATGCTGAGGCAGACCTGTGTCTAGAGCTAGTAGCTACTGGAAAACTTTAAAGCCTCCCTCCCCCAAAACAAAGAGCAAACCCTTAATACATGGCTTTGCCATCTCGCCCATCCACACCTAGGACACTATATTCTGCCATCTCCAGCTCAGTAAATATCCTGCAGATCTATTATATCATTGTAATTCAGACTTGAAACACAGGATGTTTCTGGGCTGGAGATGGCTCCGGTGTAAAGAAGCACGAGCTGTTCTAGAGGATAAGAGTTTAATTCCCTCTGAACAAAGTAGTTAACAAAGTTCAATTTCCAATCAATATGGTGCCTCAAAAACAATCTATAAGAGATGATCTGATGCCCTCTTCTGGCTAAAAGTTTATACACTACTAGAGTCACAAACCAACACCTTACATTTTTCTTCCTACTCTTGTTTCCACACTAATGTCCCACCTCTGAAAACAGCCTTACCTTTCAGCTGAATCAAGCCCCAGGATCTTGAATAGCATTTGTATTTACCAACAGTGTTATATATAACACAAAAAGCTATGAAAGACTAAGCTTTTAAAAAAACTTGCTTAGCATTTATCATTGTTTCTTTGGTTTTTAAACTGTAGCCAACCATTTACTATTTCTCCTTGAATGTATCTTGGACTAAATCACTAAACCAAGCCTGCCTCCCATTTTAATTCTCAAATACTCTTAAAGTATGGTAGGACAATTCACCT